ATGCTTTTTCTCTATGTCAGCATACTTCTTCCAGTAGCCATAGCAGTAGGGATAGCGTAGGAAGAAAACATCGAATGCCTTTCTCACAGCTGTAAGGACATTCTGCAACGAAAAGGGAACAACAAAAAGAATGACTGAATGATATTATGTAAAAATATTAATTTGATTACCTTGTTAAATAAAAAAAAAATACAAAAAGAATATATCTTAATCGCTTACCTCTTGCTCCACATACTGCAGCAGGTAGACCCAACCATTGAAGTCTTCTGGGTTCTCCTCACAGCCTTTAAAGAGTTTGTCAAACTCACTGGGCAGCTGTGGCTCTGTTGGAACAGTCGATTCTTCTGTTGTCTCTTTGGATGGTTCTTCCAGCTCCATGCCATCCTCTGTCGCCTGTGGTACCTCAGTACCATCTGAAGAAGTTAACAGGGAATCATTAAGTTGCACTTAGCAAGATATTAGCCCTAAATTTGTTTAATTACTACTAAATGCCCAACAGTGACATTTAAGTTTTATAATAATGTTTTTTTTTCAAGAAATGTCGCTTGCTGTCAAAGATACAATTCAAAAATGGTGACACACTTTTTTCAAAAACTCTGATGTCACCTCAAAGCAGAACCTGTTTTTGTTAGCCAGCATTTATATTAAGACTGTGCATTGTTGCAGCAACAGCCAATATAGATGGGAAATGAATACATGTTGTATCATGTATTTGTTTATGTGTTATGCAAGCAATAGCATCTTTTAAAGTTAATGCTATGGCACCTATCAATCAAAGATGGACTATTGGCCTTTTAATGTTTTTAACCACTTTAGTTGAGGGAACTAGTTTTGTTTTCTTTTAATAAAATGGCTAGCATTGACCAATGTTAAATCTCCCAATTTCCAATTTATTTTATTGCTGCCATTAGTACCAACTTTGCCTTAATATATATCATATACATAGCAACAACTAAACACCAGCTTTTTTTTTTTTTTTACCTTGGATGCTATCCTGTACAGTAGGCTCAGGCTCTACATTCATCTCCTGGCTGTGTTGATCAGAATCCACAGACTCTGCTTTGTTTTCTGATGGCTCTTCTGCTTCTTCTGTGGGCTGTGATGGCTGCTCCTCTCGGAAGAGCTGCGCACTGGCAAGCTGAAACTGCTCCACAGCCTTCTCCACAGATCCCAGCTCTGTGGAATTCATCTGCTGGTTTGGTTGCTGCTGTTGCACCCCAGAATCCTGGGACGCATCTGAGTCCTCAGGCAAGATATTGGTGAGTGGCTCAGGAGCAACCTGGTCCAAGGCCCAGTCAGCAGCTTGGCCTAGAACAGGAAGGTCAGGAAGAAAAGCATCCCCATTGCTCTCCATGGCAGGGGACTCAGTGTCCAGCATTCCAGTAATGGTGTCGTCTGAGAGGTGCAGGCCTGTTGAAAGGCAGGTCAGATTATCAATACAAGTGTAATAATATTATAGTGGGGAACAGTACACTTATATAAGGTAGATAATAAGATCGCATTAGTTATACTATTAATATTACAGACAATTACTCCATTTGGAAAATAAAGTATTCAGCACCTCAAAGTGCAGATACTGGAGTTTCATTTCCTAGGAAAAGCCATCAGATTCCACAACTTCCCAGCTCCTCACCTTACACTTTTTTAATTCGTACGTTAATGATTCTAACACATGTGCCATATTTTTAGTTGGGGGCGCTCATATTAACATCAACCATTAACTTTCAGTTAACTAGCTTCACACCAAAAAAGGTCACCCCGGCAGAGGCTATAGCCGGTGCAACAGGATACTTCCTTGTTCTAACACTAAAACGGACGCCAGCTTTATCTTAAATCCTAACTTGGCTACTAAAAATAAAGCATCCGCGTGATCTGTTACTTAAATAACACGACACGTAGCTCCTTATCGTAAAGGCAAAGAATAACTACGTGTTCCGTCAAAATCGGTTAATAGTAGCTTTAACGATAGTCTTGTTTGCTGCTCGAGGCCATGTTGCACCCGGGAGGTTGTTTGCATAGTCAAAGTTCAATCAGAAGTTGGGCCTTGACTCCTATCTATTTCCTGCAAACTATCGCAGCAGAAACGTGACCGGAGGTCGACGTTAGCTTCGCATAAGCGTTTGTTCAGTAACGTTGAAAGTGAACTCAAATCTTTTAGTTAGTTAACTACAATTCTCAACATACCTGATCTTAATACTGTGATGTTAACAAAGTTTACACGACAGAGATTGTTTACCGCCATAATCTCGTAAACCTTGTGATAACTACAGCAACTACAACGTGCTAAGTATGTGCCTCGATCTCCAGTTAATAGACGGCACCGGCGGCTCCTCCGCGTTAGCTAGCATTAGTAGCTAGCGTTAGCTAGCTGATGAATTGCCACATTTCTAACCAAGCAACACCAAATACATAAATAAGGATACGCTTTTGGAACTTACCAGTATCTTCCATGAAATTTTGGCCAATCTTGTAAACTTGTGTGCAGCTTTCGAAGTCACTTTATCTAACCTACAACAACCAGGCGCGCTTCGCCCACCATTCTTATCAACTTCAAGGAAGCACTGAAGAAGAGTGTGCGCATGCTCAGCTAACGGCCAGTGTGCGTGCGTGTGTGTGTGTGCGTTTGCTTGTGTGTGTGGTTGTGTCTATGTGTTTGTGTCTGTGTGTGGCATTGACAACATTTTACATTTACACATTTTTTTATCCATTTTATACAACGTGCAAGGTCACAAGATTATAGATGCAAGCAAATTACAGGAAAGGATAAGAGAGCTTAAATCATTTTCCTAAATAGCCAACAGCAGGTACATTTTGATAGAGTTGAGATTTGTAGACTGCTCGGCTTTAAATGTCTAAAACATGTAGATACTTACACTGGATGGCTGACTTTAACATTGTCCACATGGAAATTACACCAAACTGATTTGATAATAGTAATTGGTGAGTTTTTATTATACAGTTTATACAGTACATGGTTTTTACATTGGTAATGAGAAGATAGTAATTTTATTTTCTCCAAGGTAATCTTCTCGATATTTTATAGATGAGTGATGGAGACAATATCATAATTTGTCTATAGTTTTACACATGAATATCAGCCAATATATTGTAGTGATTTTTTTTTAAGTCTTAGATATTGATATCAGTATAAAGGTCATAAAGATAGATTACATTAGGTAGATTTTGCTACATCTCCATAGGATTCATATCAGTGTTAAAATACTGTTAATATTTACTTTTAAATAGAGGATCCTGAAAATAAAAAACACAAATTTAAAATGGCATTGTGCCCTACAAAACGGACAAAGAATAACAATACAATATCAACATCCAACAGTAAAGTTTCAAAAGTAGGCCACTGATGCAAATACCTCTTTGAACATGGTGAAGCTTTTGATCTCATAATATCCTAGCACAACATGACTGGGTTCTTAGGTAATGATAGTGTAGGTTATATTATGTTATTTGTGTTTTTAGCCCGTTTTAATAAGCAGGTGTGCTTCTTACAATGAAACACTGTAGTTCCCCTCCTTCCTACTCACTCACAACCTCCACGTCACAGACTAATCAAACGGGAACCGTTTTGAATGAATGATAAGACATGTCGGAAAGACCCGGCTGTAAAACCCCCTGAGGTCATTAAGCCTCCCAAATCCTTACATCTGCTTCATATGTACAGGCCTGTGTGTATTTCCTGTGCCACACGTAATACTAGAGGTGATTAAATACATAATGAAAGCTCAAATGGCGTCAACACTAGCGAATGGGCCGGTCTGCAGTTCGCTGTTTTCGCAGCGCGCATGCGAAATGGCGTATAGTGCGTTTGGGTGCAGTCGGAATTCTTAAAATTTGAGTGAAGAGTGCATTTGTTTCCCATGCAGCTTTGTATGAAGTTTGGACTTAAGACTTATACAGGGTTTAATTATAATAAATCAATAAACTGATACATTTTCAAAAAGCTGTCATAAATTGTTTCAACAAATTTGAATTAAGCAATTCAAAGTAAGAACAAAATATGATTCAATTTACCAATTGATAATTCATCCTGTCTAAAATGTCATAAATCATAAATTAATGATTTACTTATCGGCCAGATGTCATGTGTTGGTGGGGGTTAAGGAGGCCAGTCAGCACTCCCTCTGTAGGTTGGCCCTCATTTCATTTTTAGGTGTTTCACATCTTTAAATAGTAAGGTAGCTAGCTGCAATGATAACAAAGTGTATGCCATGTGTCAGTACATCCTGACATCACTGTCGGGTGTGGTCAAAAGTGCAGCAGACTTGAAATTTTCAACCTGAAAGAGCAGTGAAACACTGCTTCAACTTGGTGTTAAAGCTAGACCAGTCTCGACCAAGTCCTAACTGTGGCAGAAAAGAATCATTCATCAATCAATCATCCCATTATTAGTAGCAGATTGAGAGCAAAGGTTTTCTAAGTGTCTAAATTACTTTTTAAAGAGAACTGTCCTATATTTAAAGTGATCAATTTTTTTTTCTTCTTTTACTTTGAGTTTAATAATTTTTTAATGCATCATTTAATTGAAAACTAAAAGTATTTATAATAACTTTTTGAAATCAGGGTTATGGACTGATTACAACTCAACTTTGTAAACATTGGCATTTCTTCCTTCCTTCCTTTCTTTCTTTCTTTCTTTCTTTCTTTCTTTCTTTCTTTCTTTCTTTCTACTTTATTAGTAACAAACATCAATATACAGGCACTGCATCCGTGTTGATCAATCAGAAAATAATTCAAAGGCATGTAACCTGTAAATAAGCCTGTACATTTTAGTATCTACACCAAGTTCTCCTACTGCACTAAAGCTTTAGTGATGCAGTAATAAATAAATACGATTGTCACTCCAGGCAACCATGCAATGAGCTTTTAGTTGAATGTCTTCAGATGTCGAAGCTCATGACGAGCCTTGAACGCATCACTAGAGTGTGTGTGAGCAGTGTAGAGGAAGTGGCGGCTGATCTGGGTCCGCACCTTTTCCGGTAACACAGCACCGCCACAGCTCGACTGAACGGCTGCAGAGAGAGAGGGAGGAAGAGAGACAGAGGGCGGCAAGAGCGGGGAGAAACGGCCCGGGGACTGGGGGACGATTGCCGCAGACGTAGGTATATATCCCGCTCTCTGTGTTCTTTGTTTTTGTTTCGCTTCTCTGTCCGTAGAAAGAATATTTTTTCGGAGCCAAAGTTGTTCTCTGTACTAACACCCCTCCCTTCTCTGGACCGCTCTTGTGTCACAGGGGGAAGAGAAGAAAGTCGGATGAATCAATGACCTTTTGAGCGCTCTTCCTCTGGATGTCCCGGTGCACAAACGGACCGGAGACCTTAAATGTTGGTGTGTTTCTATAAGAAAAACACTGTGCTTTGAAATTCATCGACTGGAATTGGCTAAGGGCAAGTGTGGACAGCCGGCTGCCAAGGAGGAAGTGGGAACCCCGGGCTTGGACTGGGCCTGATTTATATAGAAGGCTTTTTGTAGGAAGCTACACCAGCTCAACTGAGAGCAGCTGGACTTTGAAGGAGAAATAAGACTTGAAATGTGGGGTCTGAAGAAAGTCTGTGCTCAACGGTTAGTTTAAAACAAGGGGATGTAATTTTTTCTTCTTACATCGGAGGGCAGTGGATCATGAAAATATATCCCCACCCAATTCTGCGAGGGCTCCACACATACTGCTCCGACTGAATGCTCGAAGTCACCAGTTCAGGTCAGATCATCACAGTCCAGCTAATTGTACCACTCTGTTAATCCAACTGTACAAACTTGAAAGTCACCGCCTTTTGAATATTGACACTTGTGTCAGCCCACCGCTGCCGTCACGTGGAGGGCTCCCAGCACACATTGAAACTGTAACTACTCAGTTGTATTGAAAACAACTCTTTTTACTCTCATTAGAGAAGTAAAAAATTTTCTTCTTCTAACGAAGTATTTATGCACATCAAACAAGATGGGGAAAATGCTGTCAAAGATCTTTGGCAACAAGGAGATGAGAATATTGATGCTTGGACTTGATGCTGCTGGTAAAACTACAATCTTGTACAAGCTGAAGCTGGGACAGTCTGTCACCACCATCCCCACAGTTGGTTTCAACGTGGAGACTGTCACCTATAAGAATGTGAAGTTCAACGTGTGGGATGTGGGGGGACAGGACAAGATTAGGCCTCTTTGGAGACATTACTACACAGGCACCCAGGGCCTCATTTTCGTGGTGGACTGTGCCGACAGGGACAGGATCGATGAGGCGAGGCAGGAGCTCCACCGAATCATCAACGACCGAGAGATGAGGGACGCCATCATCCTGATCTTCGCCAACAAACAAGACCTCCCAGATGCCATGAAACCCCACGAGATCCAGGAGAAGCTAGGCCTGACCCGGATCAGAGATAGGAATTGGTACGTTCAGCCCTCGTGTGCTACAACAGGGGATGGACTTTACGAGGGCCTGACCTGGCTTACCTCAAATTACAAATCTTAATGTTTCTCCCCCTCACCAGCCTGGACACTTGGAGGCAGAAAAAGTAGCTGAGAATGAAAACATGAGTTTAAAAAAAATGCAATCTGAAGCAATTAATACCACGACCTCTCTACTGAGTATATGTCAAAGAGAGTAGCAATTATATTTTGTTTCATTTTTCTTTTTGATAATGATGACTTCACTATAACCCCAGATTTCATTTAAACAAAGGACAATTGTTTTATGCCTGGCTTTCTTTTTTTCTTTTAGTTTGCTTTGGTTCACATTCTGTATAATCAGTACTGTTTAAATATCCAATAAGCTTACTTTTGAGCTCTTACTGCATATTCTTTTGTTTTCCTCCTTTTGTATAATTTCTTTTAGGGGACTTTGGGACACACACTTTTAGTTTTGCCCCTGCTTAGCTCTCACTCAGTATTCCCATGACCCAGCTACATATCCAAAGGATGGGAGAAGTCCAGAAACCATCGCCTAGCATCAGCATATCACTTTCATGGCTCAAACTGCCTTTGTAATGTGTAAGAATGTGTATTATGGATATGGTAGGACCTTGGAGAAAAAAAAAAAAAGAAAACTGTTTTCATAATTGATTGTACTGGGATGAATGAGGAAATGTGTTAGTACGTATTTCCTGTGCAGTGATCACATCCATAATGTCTACTGTGGGGGTTTGTTTGAAAGACACTATGTGGACGCTGGATATTCACACACACTGTGATATGGATATATGTTTTTGTTGTTTCAGGGTCTGAACCTGTTACCACCAGTCTTACTATTATTAATTATTATTGCCTCTTTTTTTTTTTCCTCCCAGAGCTTCCATTACTGTTGAGTATTTGTAGTTTCAGCTGCCTTAGGAGGGGTCACAGGTACCCCAAAATCAAGACAGTTACTACGGCAGAAGGTATTCTAAACCGCTGAGTTTGCACTTTGGGAGGGGGCGGGGATTACCGACTAGCTGGCTGTGCACATTTTGATTTTCTGTGACTGACTTTTGGACCCCAGCAAGTGTTTACGAAATTCCCAACCCCCCACCACCTCCAATGTAGGTGCTTCAGTGACTGCTACCCTCCTCTTCTTCTCTCTCTCTCTCTTTTTTTTTTTTTTTTTTTTACCCATCATCACCTGCCTGTACACTTAAGGTCCTGCCACCTTCTGTTAATAGTTCCTAGATACTGCTCTTTCATTATTTTTTTTTTCTTTTTGCTCTGCTAATGAAATAATAAAAAGATATATCCAGATCAGTACGGAAGTGACGCCTTTTCAATAAGCAGCTGCAACCACGAGAAGAGTAGCAAAAGTAATATTTCACTTGCGCAAAAAAGCTCACGAAAGAGGAAGTGAGAGGTTATGATGGTTGAAAGCACTAGTAAAAAACGAACAGTGAAGTGAAGTCAGTCTCGGCCCGTTTCCTTTATGCGCTTGCATGTGTGAGTCACTGGCTGTGAATAAGTGATGAGATCTCTGGTTTCAGAGAAGTGATTGTCAGGTAAACCGTCCTTTGCCGAAGGTCTTTAAGAATCACTTTGTCCATCAGGGCTCTGACTCCACAGACGACTTTCAACATTTTTAAACAAAGGAGGCACATTAAAAGGTAATGACGGAGTTGGTCCAAACTTGAACCACGGAAGGTTAAAACTCAGCAAGCCTCAACGTTTTAGGCCGGACACAGGACACTTTATTCTATCCTGGTAATGGGTAACTTCAACATTTGTCTGTTTAAACAAGGCTGCTGTCAACAGTAAAGTAAAACAGTACACTTCTATAAGCAGGAAATGACACATTTCTCAAACACCAAGATTTCTGCTGTCATCACATTTAACTCGAGAAAAAATCTTGCATTGGGGTGAGAGTTTGTTCAATAAGCAAAGTGAATCTGGGTTCTTGAGTACCTGACGAGACCCATGTCTTACTTCAAGCTTGTGTAACTTCTGAGTTTAGGGTGACAGCTTCATGAAAAGGTCTCAGCCAGCCTGGCATTTTGCCCTGGGTAAGCAAGTCACCCTGAGGCGCAGATCTGAGATGGCCACTGTTTCATTTCAAACCATTTCTTTTTTTTTTTTTTCATTCAGTTTACTGTAGAACTGAGTTTCATGTGTTTCTGAGCCATAAGAAAAAGCAGAAGAAGTGTGTGTGTGTATGTGTGTTTAAGGTCACACATCGAAAGAGGAGGGTGTGAATTGTGGGTAGTGACATCACCGTCTGAAGTCAGGAAACGCTTGACAGAAGAAAACCGTTGTCATGGAAATTGGTGGTTTAGGAGCGACTCACTTATTGGTGAGCAAAAACAGTCACAGCGAGTGTCAGGTTGTGTCTTAAACATAAACACACACAGGTGAAATCCTAATTCCTAATTTGTGTGACTTCATGTCCTGAGCACTAAGGCAATAACTACATTACCCTCCAGTTTCCTGGAAAGTTTACATTTTAGAGGCTTTACATTTATGTTACTATAGCTGAGTTTTCAAGGGGAGTCAGTGCAGGAATTCCTGTGCAGGAATGCTCGCTTTTTATCTCTGCATTTGCTCTGTTTGCCCACATGCTGTTTGTTCTGTGGCTGTTGATTTGAATTTTGACCTGTTGCTGTGCTGAAAGCTGTGCCATGCATGTGACGTGTCCGGCTTGAAGGACAGGGGCAGACAGATTCTACAGCCCGTTATCTCTCCTGAAACTGCTGTCACTTACAAGTCAGGTTCTTTGGAATCAGCAACACCAGTTGCAGCAATTTCCTGCATTTTCAGACAGCGCTATTGTACTGAATCCACTTTATTTGAACAGTTGAGGGCAGTGCCTCAGCAGTGTCAAGTATGATCTTGTTTGCTTATGATTTTCCATTGTGGATGTGGAAATTCCAAAAGTGAAATCTACGAGCGCTTTTCTTTCTCTCAGGAGGAATGAAGGGGAGGAAATATGGAAAGGGAGAGAGAGTTTGAAACGGTTCCTGATGTTACATCAGCACTCAGCCACTGAATCAGGCTGCACATGTCACAGGCCCTTTGTGCAGCTGTCACTGCACTCAGCAGCAGATGCGCTGCACACATCGGCTGGTGTCAAATGCTGCCAGGCTCACCTGTGGCCCTCACTTAAAGGATGATAAATTAAAAGTTTGTATTGTCTCTCTTACTTGAACAGGTAGAATCTTTGAATGAAACTGCAGAGACCACTTTCATGCACTCACTCTGTTCTGAAGGTGTAGTGATGCCTGTCCAGTCCTACACTGTGGCCCTGCTGCCACACTGATGCGGTGAATCATTTCTTTCAGTTCCTCTGTATCATCATCACCATCAGCAGTCACATCAGGAGTTAAGATGTGATTCACTTGTGTTTCCTGTGACCAGTCGCCCAGTGAAAGCTGCTACGGAAGTGTTGGATTTGAATGAAAGCCCAGAGCAGACCTGCTTCATTTTCTTTCTAGTTCTGTTTTAGCCCTGAGCGCTGCCATTGTATTTCGGCTGGGTGGGGGTGGACTGGACTATTGTACGCTTTTGAAGAGGGTGGTTTCAAACAATACTTTTAAACAGAGCTCATTGGCAGTTCCTCTGTCATTTGTTTACTCGGGCGTTCCTCTTTGATTTTAATCTCACTTCAGTTCTTCATTCAGCAAACCAGGAAACCATCAAATGCAGACAATGTGCATTTTAACATAAAATGTTGCTCATGAACTCATATTTAATGTAATAATGATACAATGATGATGTAATATGACAGTAAAACCTCTAACATGTGCTTTCTAGGAAAATTAGCTGTCAATGATGCTGTAAACTTTGATTGTGTTTGTGACACACAAACATGTACTAATCATCATGTAATGAGGTCTAGTGTCATCATTGCTTTTCTCACACACTCACTATCTGCATCTAAATCTAAATCTATTTCTTTTTAAGCAACATTTTGAATGCAGGATTTTCAATTGTAATAGAGTCTGTTTACATTGTGGTATTGTTATTTTTACTTAAGTGAAGGATCTAAGTACTTCTGCACTAACGGCTGCTGGGAGTGTTCAGGTGTTGACATATGTGCTACACAATAGATTTATTATTTAATTAAGTCAAGTCAATTTTATTTGTATAGCACCAGTTCACAACAGAAGTTATCTCAAGGCACTTTTCAAACAGAACAGGTCTAGACCTTCTCTTTATAATATTATTTACAGAGACCCAACAATTCCCACCAAGAGCAAGCACAACAGTGGCCAGGAAAAACTTCCTTTTAAGAGGCAGAGACCTCGAGCAGAACCAGACTCAGGCTGGGCGGCCATCTGCCTCCACCAAGACTTAATTAGAGAAAAAATCCTGATCTGAAGTCTTTGAAAGCCCTCAGTCTATCAGTAACTTGTACCTATGAACTGCACCCATGATTGCTGTAAATTTGTGTAATCAAAGAAGCTGCTGCTCATCGCATGCAAACCTGATTTTTTACAGTATAAAGATGCTTATAATTTACTTCACAGTCATTTGTTTAGCTGCCACAATCCTCCCTCAGCGCCCTCAGCCCCTAAAACCTCTTTGGATTTTCTAACCCAGGACAGTGCATCCTCCATTTGCCATGGCAACAGGACCAAAAACATCATTCGCCACACCTCTGCCTGCTCTTTATCCACCAATGATCAGTTCAGTTCATCACGGATAAGCGTCACCCTTGAGTTGTTTTTCTGTCTTTGTTGCATCCTTTTCAAAAACCTGTGTTTTGATTGAATAATTATCTGCAGTTGTGTTTACAGGCGTTTCCTGTCAGCAGCATCCACTATTGTGACACACAAAGGGACTTTAGGACTGGGTGGAGGGGCCAGGGCCACATCTCAGAAAGTCTCAGTGTCTCGGTTGTCATGGGGCCCGTTTAAACAGTGTTGTAAAAGCAGCATGCGGAGTGACATTCAGCTTCCAGGCAGTTGTAAGCTCTTCAGATTCTGTCGCACATTGCATTTCCCTCCGCCTCGGACAATGTGCTAATAATTACAGGGAGCCCGAGGCCTGTGTTTGCATTTGAGGGAGACGTAGTGCAGTGGGAGGGATGTAAGCAGCAGCAATGATTCAGGCTCACAGATGTAATTAATGGAGGCTGTACACTGAGAGTAGTGCTTTTTTACATCCTTTAGAAAAAACGTGGTTTCAACAGAGTCTTTGCCCAGTGAAATATGTAAAAAAGAGCAAGTGGAGAGACCTTATACTTGCATAGAATATGAAATATGAAAAGCTGTATGTACTGTAAACTTAAGGCCTTATACACAGATTTCCACTTTGCACAAGCAAAGTGGAAATCTGTGTATGAGGTATGGCTTGTATTTAATTTTTTTTTTTTTTTTTTTTTATTTCATTGATGCACTGCTCAATATCTTTTTGTGTCATCACCTACGTGGGCTAAAAATGTCTATAAACTGATCTTTGGTACTACAAACTACCTGAAACAGAAAGCTACATTAATATTTCTTCATCTACAGAAAGACTTTTCTTTTATAGATAAAGACGTAAACTGAGTTGTGTTTTCGTTTGTGAGAGGAAGTGACATGCTGCAACCTTCCTGTGTGACACATGGAACTTCACAGCAACAGATGGGCACAATGAGATACAAAAGATTAACCGCAAACTGTACAAGAGATAAATACAATAGACTGTCTGTCAGGGCCTAAAACAAAACAGTTAGAACAGGGTTAAAGTATTGTTATTCTGAAGGAAATGATATGTCTGTTAAACAGCTTGTAATTACCTGGACTGATTTTCTGCTGTGAAACTGAGAAATAGTACAGATACGATCCCGAAACCACGACTGCTTTGAATATGAGGCCAAGAAGAGTGAGATCAACAACATTTTACAGAATATCTCGAGTTATTTCTCAGCTCCTTCAGAACAGTGATGAAACAGTCAACGAGTGTCACTACACCTCAACTCATGTTGTTGTAATAAACCTTGTTGAACCCAGGTTAAAGGTTGCCAATCACACATCGTGTAATTATTAATAGGTCTGCTGTGGAATTGTGTCAGACTGAAGAGGGAGTCAATTATTCTCTCTGTCTCTCTAGGCAGCCTCCCACTCGCACAGATGCAGAAATAGAGTCACCACTACAACTTTCATCCCTAAATAACACACAACAGTAAATCCAAAAATAACCCACCACACACAGCCTCCCCACCAGCTCTTATTAATGACCTGTCTGACCATCTGCTTTTGTGTAAAGCACTCAGCACAGCTCAGACTCGCAGCTGTGTGTGTGTGTGTGTGTGTGTGTGTGTGTGTGTGTGTGTGTGTGTGTGTGTTGTGTGTGTGTGTGTTGTGTGTGTGTGGCGTATGTGCTCCAGTCATGTACATGTATGGCGGGTTGTTGGCAGGTGCTCCGTGAAGCTCAATGGTTTGTTAACAGACTCAGTGTGTTGACAGCAATTGTCTCAGCTCATGATCTATAAATACAGTTTCATATCACACGCTGAGACAATGTTATCTTATTTCTCTGAAGATTACAGTTTTTAAGTGTTCCAGTGTTTTTTATTTAGGTTATAATGTTTTGTTCTCCTTGTGAATATTACATTTATTCGGTTCTTTTTGTAGATTGTGATGGAACATAATCAAAGATGAATTCCAACTGAAATACTGGAATACATAAAGTGTACTGACTAACCAACAGACTACAAAGGTTAATCTTGTCACAAGTTTCTTCGGCCCATTTCTGACTCTGATTTGGCTCAAAAGTTATTTCTAAGACTTCCCTATCTTCTGCTTGACACATGATCTCACATCATCTTTTCTTCTCTTACTCAGTGATGTGCTGTAATCAAACTGCCCGTATTTCAAAACTAGTTGCATATGCGTGTGACTGTGTATAAGAGTCCGTTAAAGCTATTATGTACATTACATACAATCAGATGACACTGTTTATAATGCCAGTTATTCTCAGTGTTTTGCAACAAACCTGCTTGTGTATGCAATTAGTTTTCCCTGTAGGGAGCCAAAATCACTGGTAGACCTTGTTGTATGCGAGTGCCCGTAGAGAATGGGAATATGCTGAACCATCTGCAGCGTCATGACTGTTCCATGCAGGAGACAGCCTCCTCATCAAGTACATGGGGTGTGATGTCTAATACACACACAGACACACACCCTGCAGGCATGTGTGCACTTGTGCATCACATGTAGGACAGGTAGGCCTTTTGTAACAAGCTCGGCATAGTAATGCTTACATACAGTATATGAGATCGTGTCATGACTCTATTCTTTGTATCATAGTGGTTTAATAACTGTTGTTTCTCCGTTTGGTGTGCATTGTATCCAAAAAACCTTTTGCTTCCATCTGAACTTTAAAATACAAACAGGGGAGACGCCGTTGCTAAATGACAGAAATACCTTTTCTTTGTTTGCTCTTGTCTCTATGGCAACATTGACAAAGACTCAGCAGCAGATGGCTGTAGCACATCTAAGTGGTCTGAATTGACTGTCTTGACTCCTGTCTCTTACCTACCATTCTTCTGCCAAATATCCGGTCTCATCTTTTACATCATGGTCAGCTGAATCCAGATTGCAGAGGTGGTCCCAGGCGCATCTTTATGTCACAGATACACTGACATTCTGGGTATAAATCATGGAAACAATCCAGACGTCATGTTCACCATGAACTCTTGTCTGACGGTGAACAATATGTGAAACAGGCTCCTAAGCAAAAAAATACCAAAGCATTAGGAGTATCACGCAATTACATGTATACATGGTGCATGTGTTTAAAAAGAGTGTTTTCTAATCTATTCGTCTTATCTGTTTTTATTAATGTGATTTATTCCTGTGGCTGTAACCATTTATTTTTTGGTTGTTATTACATGTATGTACATATTTATCATTTGAGAGTACATGGACTATACTGTATATGTTTATGTTAGGAAATCCACAGATATTCCAAACATGCAGTAGTAGAGGTAGAGTTGCTCCAAAAAGGTCCTTATTTGTATATATTTGCATGAACATCCACCTCTAAATTACCAGTGGCCACCCCTTCTCCTATGTTTTGCTTGACTGCCAAAAGCTGCATAACGGTAACAGGGGTAATGCATTCCACATGTGCACAATTAGGCATACAGTCTGATCTGTGATTTGCTCACCAAATATGGTTTCTAGATAACTCGTGTGATGCAACAAGGTTGTTCGCCACTACACACTGTTGCTACGAACAGACAGGCTACAAATTCCTTTGCAATTTGGCTGCTTAGATTCCTTTTATTCATGCTGGTGACATAAATATCAAAGCAAGCTGCCATAAATGGAGATTTCATATACCGCTGACTCACTGAGTTGAACTACTGTGAAGAATTTACTATTAAATATTTTGTGAACTGTGAAGGCAAACACAACCAGCAACAGCTAGTTGTGCAAGCCAGCAGAGATCTTAGGCTAACTCATGAGAACCTGTCTGTCTGATGAGGCCATCATAGAACAAAGTGTCTGTCAATCAAAACTGCAGTGTCCGATTTTTTTAAAATTAATTTCATCAGTTTCTCTTCATCGCTTCAACTGTGAGTTGATGTGGATGACAGAACAGATGACATTATAGAAAGACAGTCTTTACATAAACAGCTTCCTTGCCTATTTGTGGCTGTGGGGTGATGTTTTGAGCGGAAGACAGTTTATTAACAGAAGAGCACTGTTTCAACTCTCTATGACAACAAGCATCTGTTCTGTTAAGTATCCACATGCAGGTTCATGAAACCCTCCTTCTGTGCTATGGCTGAAACTGTGCTATGACTGCAGAGAAAAGCTAAAAGAGAATTCCTCTTTTGAGGATTAATGAAGCACTATATAATCATTAATTGTATTACATCAGATAGAGTTGATTATCTGATATGGAATGGCTTTTTTGTGCTTTAAATTTCTGGTTAGTTGAGACAAGTAAATAATCCCCACAGTCCAAACTAGATCCTTGCCCTGCTGATTGATTATTATGGCCATAAACTATGTAAATTTAGGGGAGCAATGAGGATTCATTCTCCGTGATGGAGGCCAAACATATTTTATAGTTTAATACTGAAATTCAGCCAAACAAGGGCAGAGACAGCCATAGAGAGAAAATACAGGGCACAAGAGGCAGAGAAAATGGGAGGGATGGAGGGAGAGTGAGAGAGAGACAGAGAGTGAGGAGGGTGTGACCTTAATCCCAGAGTGGGAAAGAAAGAAAGTTACACTCATTCAACCATGCGCACACACACACACACACACACACACACACACACACAACCACGCATGCACACACACACACACACACACACACACACACATCTGGTCCATCCAGTTTTTACTTTGTATCTCAGACGAAATGTATGTTGGAGTTTAAACTTGTGATACATTCAGTGAAACTTGTGCACTGCTGTGTACCCGTATGATGTGAGTCAGCACTCCAGCTGGTTGATTAGTTACTCTGTGACTGCAGTGTTCTGTCATTCATACAAAGAGGGTGTAGTTGTTTGGTTTGGTTTATAGTCTTGTTTAGTCTTGTAGGTGCAGTACTCTAGCTAATTTGTGAGGGAGGGCATGACATTTCCATTTTCAAGTTGCAATTATATCTTCAAATTTGCACAAGCAAATGTTTGATATGACACTGACATATCCGATAGCAAGGGCCAACTATCACCTCACACTGCAGAGTCATGCAGAATTCTGCATGGCGCCTCTATGCCTTGCCCTGCACGCAAGCCACTACATGTTACACCACCCCACCAGAACAAAGGGTAGGCTACTGTTCCAGATGAAGGCAGCCATGTCACTGTGGAGACTGAACAGATTCTGTTACTGACACCCTAGATCTGGGTTCAGTCCAAAAAGCCTGCAGCAAAGGTTTTGCTTTCTGTCTCATCAAATAGCAATGAACAGCAAACAGGATGTTGGAGGAAAATGTGACAAGTATGTGACACAGCTCTGTCTGATCTAAACTACAGACCACAATCCACCATGTGGGTGTTAATGGACTAATGCACAGGCGGAACTGATGTTTAGACACACAAATTGGTGTAAATCGTTTCATTTGACCAATTTCATAAGACTGGAAAGTTGTGCTTTGCAACTGAAGTGCACTGCCCTCATGTGGTCAGCGTGGTGAGTTAGTGCACGCTATTCCTTTCTGTGTGTGTGTGTGTGTGTGTGTGTGTGTGTGTGTGTGTGAATGAGTGAGTGAGTGAGAGAGAGAGAGGGAGTGTGTGTGAGAGAGAAAGATAGGGGGAGATGCAGTGTAGGCTCCAGCCGGCCTATATCTGTCTCCCAACTCCCACATGAAATGCAGACAACAAGAAAAGAGGGTGTCTCGTCTGGGGCGCAATGGTGACCCACATCCTAGCTACACCACACCCCCCGAAGCATCTCATTACGTCAGACTCGATAATCACCCACGAGATCACAGCTATATGATTTCTACACATAAAACCAAACGGTCTATTCTATTACTTTAAATGTACCAGGACGCCTCTACGTGCCAGAGGATGTGGGCACTTCCTCTGGATTTCGAAATGCCTCATTTTTATTCTATCAGTGGGAGCCAGCGTCTCATCAAGGCTGCGTCCATTTCTTGTTCCACAGGAGTGTTCATGCTTAAATTCATTTGCATATTGAATTATAAATATGTGTTTTTCTCGTAATCGCTTGTAAAGTATTTACACATCTTTAATAACCCGACAAGAACGCATCAATCCTTGTAGAGGTAATTTTGTCAACTATTATAAGATGTGTTTCGAGCGACCACCCCCATAAAATATGGTATACTCCACTCCCTGCCGTTAGCCGTTGTTGTATCCTATGCTACTGAACAGATTTGTCGTGATACAAACTCGCTACACACTGGAACGAAAGCCATGAAAAGATGCCCCTTCACAGGATTAAAACAATAAAACAGGCAACAAGAAGTCTGGAAAAACTTTGCCGAACTGTGTCCAAACTTTGATAGACTACAACCCAATTCACTTCCCTACAGTTTCGAGTGTGTTAGCATTGTTTTATCTCACCACTATTGCCACTGGACGCGGTTCTTTTTTCTTCTGGAGCAGTCCAGTCTGATGAATTCACCGAAAAAAGACGGAGATGATGATGTGCCCGTTAAAGACCCGGTAAAATACGGCGAATTGGTCATTTTGGGGTAAGTCTCTTGAAACCTAAAGCTATAGTAAAATTGTGTAGGATGGAGAAACGCTCCAGCGGTAAATTAACGTTAAATAGCGGCACCATCAGCACAATAAACCAACAGATGACGTGTGAGTTGGGGTTTAATCCACTGCTCTTATTGAATAACTCGCTCTTATGGTCGTTTTTCGGTCAGAAAATTCTTGATAGTAACACATTATAGCTCATTTCTCATTTATTGGACATTACCCTCGTTCTCCACCAATATGTGACTGTAGTAATGTTACAAACTAACTTTATGATCCAGAGGAAAGCATATTCTTTCAAACTATGCCATTGTATTGTTTCGGCATCATGTATGGTGCGTTTGAGTGTAAAAGATGCAACATCTGCTTTAGTCATAGTACATGAGGCTATTACCGATGTAGCCGCTTTTTCATCAATGGTTGTAGTGGCGGAGGAGGGGGGGGGGGTTGCTCTGGCTGAAAATCCCAATGATGTCATACTATGCTGGGTCTGTGATTGCTAAAAGTAGGGCTAAGGTTGATATAATTCTCTGAAAAATACATGCATCTTGTTCATGTTATGTAGTCAGAAAGCCTCTTTCGTCTGATATTACTAATTAATAAAACGTCGCATCCAGATGACCATCCATGCCAAGGAGGGAGGAGGAGGAGAGCCCCTCTACATCACCAGCAGCACACACAAACTCACAGTAGGCAGGATGTGCTGATGACAGCCACCAGCTTCCACAGCATTTCCACCACTACAGCTCCACACTGTGCATGGTCTGCAGGGACCAGAAATGCCACAACATACACATATACACACACACACACATAGTCATATCCAGGCTTACACAGGCCTCCCTCTTGCCCTGCAGAGCTTCCTGTGTATGCCAAAGATAACTGACCTAATGGCCTATCGCTTCCCCTCCGGCTGAACATGGAGTGAGGAGGCTGTAGCCCGCCTGTATCAGAATACTGATTAGTCGTCCTCCTCCTCATCTGACTCTTTGAACAAGCAGTCCTTTACATCCTCAGAGGAGAATAAGGAAATGACAATTTAATGCCAATTTTAGGTTAAGGCCATGCAACTTTACACACAAGCATGCTCTGCGGTTAGAGCCTTAACGCTTAATGTGCTTCTTTGAGTGTAGAAAATGCACTTGTATTAGCTCACTTTTAAACTGTAATGATTGAGGTTTGGTTTGATCTTGCTCTGCAAGAGTGATGGCCACAGGCTAGGGGGCTATTATAGGTATCTTCTGTGTGGTTTTGAATCAGGGCTGAGCAGTAGTGAGAGAATAGATGTTGCTATTACTATAATACTTTCTTCTGATATTGCTCTTATTCTATTATGTAACATGATTTACAGTATGCTAAAAATGTCACAATCTGACACAGTGCTCTACATTAATATTAATATTATTACATAGGTTATCCCATATCTGGATCATTAGGATTGAGAACAGTTGAACTGGCCTATGACCAGTTCAACTGTTCCCCAAACATACAGCAGGTAACTTTGACTGTAGACTCAGGCTGTTGTTTTACCACTTCCTGTCAGATATCATATTTTCCTGGTCTGTTTGGTGCAAGTGTGGTTTCACTTTGCATCTGTCAGCCTTGATGATCACATGCCCCGTGTGGTCGATGCGTGCTTCACTGCGGGCCATGTGATCTTTGCAGTGGCAGCCTGCCATTGCTCATTACCTTAGTTAGCCTGGACACCATGTACAGCACTGCCCTGTCCAGCAGCCCAGCATCGCTCAACTCACCTCTACCCCATAACCCACTCCCATCACTATGCAAACACCCTCTTATCCTCACTGTTTATCTCTCCCACACCTTTTTATCTCACCCGTAACCCCTCTTAACTCTGTGTCTGTCGCATTCCTCCCTCTTAAACCCAGTTCCTTCCCTGCCAGCCTCACAGTGTTTTGCTGAGTGCTTGCTTTCACAGAAGCAGCCCTCCTTGGTGACTTGCCCTCAACGAAAATAAACTCTGTGTCGAGGGGCAGAAGGAGTGAATATTTCATATTGTGCTTTACGATGTGCACACATGCGTGATATAGGCCAGGACTGCCCACAAAATCCTACCTCATGGAGCTGCTCTTCCATCGGCCTTTCCCCCTCGACCCTCTGCTTTGTGGTGTATCTCTGCCCTTTCTCTCCATCTCCTCTCCCTGCCCTTTGCTTCATTTAATTAATTTAGCTTTATTTTTTGTCTCTTATAATCATGATAACTTCTGACTGCTCCTCAGGCTCTGTTTTTGTCAAGGCGCTTGCCACCTTTTCTCTCTCTAAGCTGATTTTGTCTCCTGTACCCGCTTATCCTCAGTCCCATTTCATATCTTCTACTCTTTAACCAGACCCCTCAGCGCGCTGTCTTCTTTTCCTGACCTAGTCCTCTTCTCGTCAGACGGGGTTTAGTTTGAAGAAACAGGCAGGGCCATGGAGGGATCGGGTAGCACTGAGTCATCTTCTTTGATTGGACTCTGCATTTAAAAAAAATATCACAAGTAAATGTGGCCTGTTTGAAGGTTTTTCCAGGTAACATGCCCAACCCTCTCACCAACACCCCGCTGACTGCTGTTGCCCATATTAGATGAATTTTGGCCGTCAGGTTAATTAAAAATACATAGTGTCAAGAAACTTCCCTTGGAATCTCGCAAATTTAACCACTAAAAAAGTTTATGGATCTTTACTAACAAAATGAAATGCTGGCACTGAAATTGATAAAATGTGTGTCATGTTAATATAAGAAAGGGTGATCTAGGAAAAGGATTTTTCACTTTGTCAGATTAGAAAACTGACTGGATTTCTATCTTAATTCCTGGCTACTTATTTAATTAGTGTCTTATTTGTTCAGATTTTTGAATGGTTGTTTTTTTTTTCTTCAAATTCTAATTGAGGAAGTTTTTAGGGCTGCAACTAACAATGATTTTCACTGTTGATTAATCTGCTTATTATTTTTCTGATTCATTACAGCTCTGGAAAAAAAACTAACAATAGATAACAGGTCTTCAGTCCAGGTTTAGAGTAGATATAAAACACAACAAGTAAAAGAAGATGCAATACAGTCCAAAGCCCAAAGATGTTCAGTTCAAATTCTAATATATTTACTATTAAAGCTGGATCAAATGGATTTTTGGTATTTTTGTTGAAATAAAAAAAAAATCTTAGATAATTATCAGCATTGTTGCTGATCAATCTTCTGTCAATCCACTAATTGATTAATGGACTAAACATTTCAGATGTAGTTCAGATTCTCAACTCTGCTAGTGCACTGTCTTCTATTTGGGAGTTTTATTCAGATTTTTAATCTGTTGATTCTGTTATCAGATGATCAGATATATGTCCAGTCATCAAGAGGGATGTCTTAAAACTGTTGATGTAGTCTCACCAGCAGCAAAAAATTCAAAGTATCTGATCTGTAATGATATAAAATGAAAAAAGGAGAGGACAGTTTTGCATTTGAAGAGCTATGATCAGCTGTTGTCAGTATTTTCATTCTATGATTGAATTAATCAAATTTAAAAAGTGTTAGAGATTGTTTTTTTGTTTGAAAGACTGCTTGATGAATCAATCACAGATTCAGAGCTACATCACACAAATCACAGTAAAAGAGGCAGTGGTTTCTTCAGCCCACTCTGCGAGACTGTGACACAGATCGCAACAGAGGCAAACCAGATGTCCTCTGATCTGATCCAGTTTGAAGGCCAGTAAAAGCAGAGTTATTGTCCCTCTCAGAGTCTTCTTGCCGTTGGGTATCCTCTGAATAGTTTTAATAAGGACCATGCCCCGCTGATTAGTCAAAAACCTAAAACCAGAATACTGCCTTCTGTGTGAACCCAAAGTGTGAAAATGATGTTCGACACGGCTTCAAAAAAATGGAGGACAACGTCCGGATTTAAGTCAGCACCAACGCCAGAGAGGAGTTAACATCATGTCACACAAAGTTTCATTAAAACATGAAAACTGAGATCATCTTTCCAAAAAAAGATTGATATTGAATTATAAACGACTCAGGGTCTAGAATACATTATTAACCACTTAAATAAGAAGAATCTAGATTTTCATGTCTGCTTCTCGTAAAGAACACACACCTTCAAACTAGTATTCAGAATCCTAACTAGAGTCCTTAGTCAAAGTTGTACGGTTAATGGTATTGTGTAATGGTGATGGGAAAATAGTCCAGTCCTGCTGAAAATGCTTTTCACTGTGGAGAGAGGTTAAACAACGAGCAAGCTCCTGTACTGTATGCATGAGCCTCAAGTACATGCTGAGTGAGGGAGATCAAGTGGTATTTGTCCTGTTCATTGAGGTTCAGCAGTTCAATGTGAATCACAAGTGACCTGAGTGCACAGCTTTATTTCATTTCAAAAGAATCTGTGATGATATAGCTGAAAGATGTTCAAAATCAATTAAGCTTGCACTTAGATTGTGGTTATGGGTACAAATCCTTGCAGCATTTTATTCATAGCCTTAGTTTTCCAACAAGTGATACATAGATAAGTACAGGAGTCAAACAATAGTAGCAAGATTCTCAATAAAGTTACTATGTGTACTATTTACTATATGAACTATGTGCATGCTGTCTCAAACTCTCTGAGTTGTTTTCCTTGGTGTAATGTCCGTGTTTCCGTGTTCTTATTTTTGCCCTGTGCTTGTTTTTGTTTGTCTTTCTCCAGGTACAATGGCTCTCTTCCAAGCGGAGACCGGGGGCGCAGAAAGAGCCGCTTCGCTCTGTACCGAAGGGCCAAGGCCAATGGTGTCAAGCCCAGCGCTGTGCACATCCTCAACACACCACAGGACAGCAAGGTACGTGTGTGAGTGCATGTTTGCCTTCAGTATGTTTTTCAGTGTGTAACATTAGTTTCCTTCCTGTGAACTCCCTGTTGTCACAAATGGAACAGAGGAAGGATGACTAAGCATGTAGACCGACTGACTGTGTGTGGTCTGTCTTTTTGTGTGTGTGCGTCTGCCTACATAGATGGTGATTGCCACATGATGATGAAGAAACATAAAAATATATTTTTATCACCATGAGGTCATTGTCACATGCTGCTATCACATACAATTTGATACTATTTTTATTTCCCAGTCATGAATGTAGATGCATTTTATTACCTTTTTAGCAACAACATGTTTTCAGTCAAGTGTCTGGATCGTCAAGAACGTGAAAGTCGGTTCCAGAAGATGAGCGCATCAACTCATGTTGCTTGTTGCCATTGTTGTTGCAGGCTGTACACAGCAGGGGGCAGCACAGCATTTCTTTCACTCTGTCCCGGAACCAGACAGTGGTGGTGGAGTACTGCCATGACAACAACACAGACATGTTCCAGGTAACACACTAAAGGAAATCAAGAAAGCAGGGTCAGGTTTTTCATTCATCCTTTTTAAATAATGGTAGGTTTTACAGCAAAAAGAATCCAGATTTGTGATCATGAGCTCCTAAAATATGCTGTTATGTAATGTCATCAAAGTAACTTCTGCTGTCAGTAGATTATTTTGGTTCAGAACCATTAAGTATTAAAAATGAAGGCTTGTGCGGAAAATCTCCAAGAGAGTCTATTTTTACACTCAGAGTTTTGCTCTTATAATAGTATCACAGACTTATTTTATTTACAAAAAAATTACCAACAGTATTAAAAGCCACAGTAACGTCTAAAATTAGCTATTCAGTGTACACCAGTATCAATTTTGAATATGACATTGATAAGCATTTGTTTTGATTATTGGTATCCAGAAAGTATTTCTCTGTGTTGTCCCCTGCAGATCGGACGCTCCACAGAAAGTCCCATTGACTTTGTGGTGACAGACACCTCCGGAGGGGGAAAGGAGGGGGAGGACCCCTCCATTGCGCCAAGCACGATCTCACGTTTTGCCTGCAGAGTGGTGTGTGAACGCAACCCACCCTACACTGCACGCATTTATGCTGCAGGCTTTGACTCCTCCAAAAATATCTTCCTAGGGGTGAGTAAACTGATAATCCAATTTTTGGAGTCAGTATTGTAAGTAATTTAAAAACGCTGATGCAGCTGAAACAATGATTTATATGTCCTCGTGTCTGTGCTATCACAGGAAAAAGCAACCAAATGGAAAAACCCTGATGGGCACATGGATGGCCTGACCACCAACGGGGTGCTAGTGATGCACCCAGAGGGGTTCCCTGAGGACCCCAAGCAGGGGCTGTGGAGGGAGATCTCCGTCTGTGGTGATGTCTACGCCCTGCGAGAGACACGCTCTGGACCCAGCCGGGGCAAACTGGTGAGTTGCCATGTCCACACGTTGCTCTTTGAGTCCATCAAGGTTGCATGGTTTATTCTTGGGATTGATGGTAAGTGTGTGTCTGTCAATGCGTGAACTTTTCCAGGCAGAGGGAGAGAGCAGTGCACTACGAGACGGTTCCCTGGTTGACCTGTGTGGTGCCACCCTGCTGTGGCGTACAGGGGAGGGGCTCATGCGGGCTCCCACCCTGCGTCACCTGGAGGCGCTTCGCCAGGAGCTTAATGCATCCAGGCCCCAGTGTCCTGTAGGCCTCAGCACACTGGCCTTCCCCAGCCTGCCACGCAGCCACAGGTGGGGGCTACAGTCTGTAGTAATTGACAGACTGCTCCGCCATTAAACAGTGTTGATATTCTTCATTAAAAATAGTACCAGTACTTAATAATCTGTTGTCAATGTGTTACTGCAGCCTTGAAGAACGTCAGCCCTGGGTCTACCTCGCTTGCGGCCATGTCCACGGACGCCACGACTGGGGCCAGAGATCTGAGGGAGAGGAGGAACCAGGAGAGGGCGAGAGCTCCACGGCCCGCCGCGAATGTCCCCTGTGCAGGAGCGTGGGGCCCTACGTACCCCTGTGGCTGGGCTGTGAACCTGCTGTGTATGTGGACGCCGGCGCTCCTACGCACGCTTTTGTGCCGTGTGGTCACGTCTGCTCAGAGAAAACAGCCAGGTACTGGGCTGAGACCCCGCTGCCCCACGGGACCCATGCCTTCAGACCCGTCTGCCCCTTCTGCTCCACTGCCCTCAGCTCCCCCGGCTGGACACGGCTCATCTTCCAGGGCCCCATCGACTAGTCGCTACAACACAGCAACCACTATCACAAAAAAGATGCCCGAGCTTCATTCATGTTGCACATGTTGATCAAGACGGAAAGGTATTGATTAGGAGTGCTTAACGATAGTTTCACATTATTAAAACAGGTGTAATCTACAGTCAGTATTCTATATTTTTACTGAATGCAGCTCGGAGCTGAAGAATCCTTCCCCTTGTTTATCCTTCAGTGTTTGTTAATTGCTATGAGATCAGGCGGATAGGTGATTGAATCATGACAGAATAATCAATACTGTGATCATGTGAACAGTATTTACTCTAAACTATATGGTGTCCACTTCTCTGTCATTCAAGAGTCTGCTGTTTTTCAATCCAAACAAACACTACACCAGCTGATTTACCCAACCTCCAACAAGACAAGCAACACTGGGTACACAGAAGCTTAAATGATGTTTCTCACCCCATGACAAACAATTATTTCACTCCATCCATTATCAAGTGGCGCAGCCTTCCAGTCATTATACATTTCATATGGAACATTCAGACTCTAACAATTGTGTTTGTCAGTTTCAGAAACCATGTAGGAAATGACAAGTAGCTTTTTTTGCACTCAGTGAAACACCACTTCTGACCAGGTAGTCTCCAGTTATAGATGTGTAGTATTGCACTTTTTGGCCCGCACTTTGATATCCAACCACTTTGGATTTATTTGCACTCATTCTGACTTCTGTGTTTTCTTCCTGAACGGCCAGCTGATTTATATTTATAGCTGTATTCAACAGGGTGTATTAACTACTCATAGTAAATGTAGGACATTACAAGGAGGGATCAAAGGATTGTGCTTCCATGCAACATTTTACATTTCTAGTGTTTCATGAAGAGGAAATTAACCATTGTTAAAACCAGGATATGTTTGAGAACATGCAGTTTTCACCTTTTGTACTCACATATGCTTTTAGTGTGAAATCTATGCACAGCCCCCCCCCCCCCCCCCCATAAATGAGACCCCATGTGTACTATTAGATTGGAATGAAAACCTGCAGACTCTTTGATTAGCACTGAATAACGGAGGGAACACAACATACTGCATAAGGCCAGGTCTTATCCGGATTATCAAGCAGCCAGAGGATAAACAAGGGCTGGGAATAAAACTGGGTATAGTCCACTTCATAACTCTCTAAAGCAATAATAGCACTCCCATAGATAAGCTATATGTTGTGCTATGTTTAGCCAAGTGTTAGGTCAGCAGTCACTTCAAATAAGGCTAAAATGGTTTCCAGGTTAAGGGCTCAACCAGAGGCGTGTTCAATTCCATGATTTATTTTATTTCCAGATGGGGTCTTACGCCAGGTATCAGAGTGTGTGTGTTGTAACCAAAGCCCTAGAATTTAAAGATGAGCAAATGAATCAGTGACTAAATACCTGACATTTATTTAAATACTCATTTCGAATGCATTAAGTAGCCTCTGCTGACTGGAATCACCGTGTTTAGATCAGCACAGCAGCCATCACAAACACACATATGGTATTGTTACATTAATTTGAACACACTTCTGGTTACTGAATTATGCTAAACAGGGTCTACATTAGTGTGATAGAGTGTCAGAAAGGTTTGACCTTGCATAACCTCAAAAGAAATCCTTTTTTTTGTTTTTTTTTGTTTTAAAGAAAACTATTTTGTTAAGAAATGGGGAGGGATTTATTTGGGGAAGTGGGAGGAATTCTTTTAGATGTTCAGTGTTAAAAAAAACAAAACTATTTTTCTAACTGATAATTGGTTTTAGTTAGGTGTTGTTACTCAGTGTAAGCAAGTTCTGTATGTTTCCGAATATTATAGTGTGGTAGATGTAGGAGAGCTTGTGAGTGAGAAAACATTGCCAACACTGTGTCCAACAAACACACTTAACACACTGCTACCGTGAAACATTGCCCAGACAATGAATGTAGCCAAATACTCAGGCTATATTTAGCCTTCCCTGGTGCTCATATTGAATGGTCTATATTGTGATACTATTTTTGTAACTAAATATTATGGTGTAGCTTGGTGAACTAGCTCGAACGAGTCAGATAACTTCAATAATAGCCTCAAGTATGGAAGACGTATAATTGATAATACACACTCACATGGAAATTGTGTTTAGCTTGCATGTGCTGAACGTACACACACACACACACACTATGTACACTACACATACACTTACTCAAAAACTTTGCACGGTGGATTGCCAACCTGTTATTCATGCTGAGAGCATCTGTCGCAGACCAAGATGTCTTCCGAGTCCTCAGCTGTTACAACTGCAGCATTTTTGGGTTTTTTTTGGATGACCTCTCCAAAAAAAAAAAAAAAGAAAAGAAAAAAAAAATAGAAAGACAGAAAGAAAACAGAGCCTAAAAAATCCTCATACTTGATAGATGCGTGATGTTTGTGAATGAGACCTATCAATCCCACTTTGTACTACTATGCTAATATTTTCCACCAAACCAATTCACTACAGAAAGATGTCCACGTCAACACTTGTTTACATTTTGTATTTAGACCTATCATGGTACATTTCAAGCTAATGAAAGGCTGTATGCTGTTTTCAGAGCACTATATTTTCCATTTGAAGTCTAAATACAAGATTTAAACTCCCAAGAGTGCAGTGGATAATTGACGTAGTGTTGATAATTACTGTAGCTCAGGATTAGTGATTTCAGATTCACAGCTGGCAAAGCCTGAAGGAAGCGTGATAGAAGACACTTTGAGACAAAAGGTTTCAGAACTGCAAAACATAAAAAGGAGAACAGGTGTGAGAATAATTATCTGATGTAAGAGGGATGATACAGCAGGGCAGATCACCACAGGTCTAGGATCAGTCACATACGGGTCTTACTATAAGGGGAACAGGCGATGAAAACACCTCAAGCAGCTGCCCCCTTACTAAGCACGCCAAATCCAGTGAATCCTGCTTTTGAAGTTAATATATACAACAATTAATGTAACACCATTGGCATGTGGATGGAAGAACCGTTGCAGCACCTTTTTTTTTCACTTTTAGTTTATGACCTGACTTTTATTTGAGCTAATTTCTCTTTACTTTTCTTTAGCTTTATTCTTTATTTAACTATCTTTGGGTTACAGGTGTCCATATGCAATTTCCTTTTCTTTGTTTTTAGATTTTAGTATTGATGAAAACTTCAGACACATTATCTATTTTAGCGTGGCATCAGGTTATTTAATACGACCAGTAACATCATTAGCTCTTCCCTAACTTTGTTTTTTGTTTTTTTTTTGATTATATGTATCAATTGACCTTCATTCCAGATGGCAAAACCTCAACCTCCTCAATTTATGAACTCACCTTGTTATAGGGGAGTGAGTAGCTGACACTTAACCTCACAGTTAATACTGCATTCCTTTAAATACATCTGTGTTATGTACAGCTATTTTGTATTATTTTATATCATAATCTTCTGTAATCGTCCGGTGCACAGACAATCGCTATACACATGTCAATAAACCTGTTAAAAAGATGAAGCTGCTCTGTTCTGTCTCTATCAATTACTTCTCTTCTGTAGAGTATGAAACATAAAGCATCGTTATAAAGTCACGAATGAGCTTATTACAGAGCCCAGTTCAGTGTATTTAATTGTAGCAAAAAGCGAAGTGCACGTCACGTGTGCTGGCTCCAGCAGAGGGCGCTCTCTACCAGCTCTGAGGCTGACAGCAGGCCAAATGCACCGTGATGGAGTTGCTTTCAGTTGCATCACCTCTTTAAAATAATCAAGCGTTTTAATGAGCAGTTTTGGCAGTCGTGTTCATCACCACACACATGTGATAAGAAGCTGCAAATGTCTGCAAAATTACAGAACGCCTGATTTAAAATAGCAATTTAAAAGACTTAAGTTCTTCTCTCTGCGAAAGAATTCAGGATGTAGAATGAAAGACCTGCTGAGAGTGGTGTTATTCAGAAGTTTGTTCAAAAATGATTTCACTGGGGAGGAGGCTTTTTCTCTGTCAAAGATTATGAAGCATATTTCATGCGTATCTCACTGACACACTACATTTAATCTCTTCCAAAGCATGTGAGGGAGAAAACCAAAAGCATGCTGAAACTCTATAGAAGAGACTGTGAAAACAAAGTAAATTCTTCTACATGTTAAGACATACTATAATGTTTGGGCTGAGGAGAGTCAGTTTTGATGAATGTTGACAACTGGTGTTTGAAATGTTTAGGATATATACTTTCTTTAAAGCCTCCTGTTTCATAGAATATACTTACACACACTCTATGTGAGAGTGAAATGTAATTACTGCTATAGTCTGGTTTTTACTCCATCATGTTATAATGGGGAAGGAACTCTTGACATCCTCACTAACAAAATTGTCCAAATATTACAGATATTACAGTGGCCTAAAGTTTAAACAAGAGAACAGAGTGACAACTGATGGAAGTGAGACTGTATGGTTGAACCCAGAAATACTGTCTAGTGTTCATTTGATTCATTCTCGATGTCAGTACCGGATCACACCTAGACCCAGGACCACCACTAGACCCCAAAAACCCCACATTAACTATGGCAGTTAGTTCATGGTTATATGATGGTTTTAATTTCGTTTGAGAATATGGGAAAAGGCGCCGCTAAAGTATTATATCACCTGACATAAGGACTTTGAGTGTAACACATAATGGCTACATCACAGAGCGACATGTCATTTGAAGCAATTCTGCAGACACCCAAAGCTGACACCAGATGTGTCACACAGATATAAGAAGTAGTCAGGTACTGTGACTGATCTACTGGAGTGATAGTGTGGTAAAGCTTCTGCCTCTCTGGAGGGCTGACACCTATGAACATTGAAATAGGACATTGATGTGTCCTGATGGGTTGACACATTTGAAGATAAAGCCAGTGTGTGGGCTTTTATGTATGCTGCTTCATTATCTAATGTTGAGGCTTTGTCTTGAAGAGGGGCCTCGCGGCAAGTATTGTAAAGTACTTTGAGTGGTCAGTAAGACTACAAAGCGCTGTATATGTGCAAGTCCATCCAAGCACAGAGAGGGGAGGTACAGGGCTTAACAGGGGCCCAGCAGGTCTTTCTTGCCCTGAGGCCCCTTGCAGGTTTATCCTGCCATGCTCAGTGTGTGTGTGTGTGTGTGTGTGTCAGGGGATGTAGCATAGATGCTGGAGGCAAGGTTTAGCAATACAGTTGTATTCTCACTGGAGGGATTTGTAGGTTTTGATCCCAGCTAATTAATGTGAAACCCTCAATGGGAGTAATGGGTATCTGTGACCGGGAAGTTTGAAGGGGACTCTCCTGTCCCTGTGTGTGTGTGCTTTCATGCATATGTCTTTTTGTGTGTGTGTGTGTGTGTGTGTGTGTGTGTGTGTGTGTGTGTGTGTGTGTGTGTGTGTGTGTGTGTGTGTGTGTGTGTGTTAATCATTGGCTCTGAAATCTTTGCTCTCTGTGGACTCACTCTGAAGGTAGCAGGGGGCGTTCATACCATTGTTCATCAATCCACCCATTAACTACAGACACTGGGAAACTTTAATTAAGCTGGGGCCACAGATGATTAATTAACTTTAAGACTTTCACTTCTTTTTTCTTTCCTTATACACATTTCACTAAGTCACCAAGCCATAGAAAGTGTTAATTTAGCCACATAATTTACAAATCCAATTAAAGCCAATATTAAGGCACCACAAGCTGCTGTCCTGTGTTCTCCAGTCTTATAACATTATTCTCTTTTGTGGCTCGACTGGCAATGGATGCCTTCACATGTAAGCCGAGCAGAATGTATTAAACAGGGGTTAAGAGTTGTAATAAGTTTGATTATTTTATGGAGTTTATTATGCTGTGTTATCCTGTTAGGGAGGTGATGTTGTGGCAGTAGGTTGGTAATCCGGACTGTCTTGTGTCTCACAAAGTAGTCTCCTGCTCTGCTGTCGTCACACAGTTTGTGAAGGGAGGGCCCAACCTGTATGTGACTGGGTGAGAATACGACAG